GCCCAATGTCTTTCAACAATAACAGAAATGAGAGGAATGTGTGAAGGTTCATGAACATTAGCTTCCTTGTCATCCCTTGACTCCCCAAATGTAAGGAAAAAAGATGAGAGAAACTGAGAGCACTTTTTCATAAGGTTTCAATCTAGGCTGGAAAAGTCAATCACAGGCATTTCTTAAAGAAAAAGAAAACTTTATTCCACAGAGAAACTCAGGTTGATATAGATGGTACTTGTACCCCTCCCTGTTTTATCCTCACATGGCAACTGAAAGGCAGGTTAGAGGTGATGTTCCCACATCACTAACTGAATGTCATAACTAAATATAGATTTGGGTGTATATGTCTCCTGATCTTCTTGGCAATTCTGTCATGGTCATACAATTATGTGAATAATCTCGTCAAACAGGAAGTTCATTGAAAATCAGCTTCAAATATGACATTAACATTTGCTCATAGGGTTCATGAATCTGTTTCCCCCGCTGCCTGCCACGCTAGTTCAAAGACACTAAGACAGAACTCCTGTATTGTTTGAAGGCATAATGCTGTATTAAGAAAACTCCAAATGCATTTGTTTACTTGAAATATTTTTAGCTATCATTCCAATATTCTCTCCAGCAGTTTATATATTAAAACATTAAAATATAATAGGCAATTTTCATAATATACAATAATTCTAAAGAATTATCATTTTGGGGGGATGTATAGAGACAATCAAACAAACCCTTAAGTTAACTAGGGAACTGATAATTCATTTTAAAACCCATAGAACACTATTATCCATACAGATTCATCCACATATTAAATCAAATTCTATTAAAAAGCCAGAACAAATTGAATTGACACTATATAATTTGAGGGAAGTTTCACAAATGAAAAGCCTATATTTTCTTTTCCCCTCCATGGTGTGTCTAATACAATTCAATCTGTGATAAGTCCACAGTTAAAAAGAAGGCAATTTTGCATGACTTGGGGCCAATTTATTGTATGAGCTTTAATTTTAATCAATTTTTTAAAATCACATATTTGTTTATAATAAAAACAGTTGGGAAAAGTCATTATTACTGATGCCTTAGGCAACATCAGAGGAGATGCATCCCACATAATTGGAGCAAAGAAGGGGCATGTCTTGCAGCGAGCGTGGAAGAGGGGGAAATGTCTCTTTCAAGAACACCTCTGCCAAATGTTTGCAAATTTTTTAAAAATAACTTTTATTTTTAAAAAACCTGTGGCCAAATTTAATTAATTTGAGGACAATAGTAAACTAACCGATTAACTGATTGTGTCTTTCACTCTCTGGCCTTTTTAACATAACTGTGCATATATCAAATAAAAGGGAATTTCAGAAACAGAAAATGAAGAGAATAAGAAAACAATTCATCTAATGTAACCGATAGTCAAGAAGTAAACAAGAAACCAGCAGGAAGTACTTCCTAGAACAACATGTTGTTTACTTAGGAAATTTATTGTCACAAGTTATTCCGATCACCGGCAGCATGTGGGTGTCTAAGTAAGTATTAGGAAATTACTTCCTTATCATCTCTCAAGCCGTAATCGCCAAAAGTATTTAGAAATACTACTTCCATGTTCAGCAATATTTACACACCACAATGCCAAGCATTAAGGGTTAAAAGCAGAATACCGAGGGCTTCCAATAGTAATGGTGGCTAACAAACTGAAATGAATACCTAGAGGCACCCAACTGAAATTTGGTCTCACCCACAAACTTACTAAAACTGCAATCCCATTCAAAAATAAACTTTTGAGTTCATGATTGTAAGCAAAGGGACTTTAGCCGTCTTTGTCCAACCTGGCGTCTTCCAGATATCTAAGGGTTTTTTTTACTAATGTATGACATGCAGTGATTGAGGATCAGGTGCCTAGATTATAATGTACTTCAGGATACACTAGGAGAAAAAAATTGGCATTTGTAGCTATTCCAAAGCAAATCTAAACAATCCAAATCCTCAGAATTTGAGGTTCTATATTAGAAAGACTGCTAGCAACACACCCACATTTCAGATGTAATTCTCCGTAACAACTTCAACCCCAATTTAACATTTGGCTTCAGTAAATAATGGAATTCTAGTGGTAGGTTTGTTATCTAAAGTTTGTTCTTCCCACCACCAATAATTGATTTTCCTTCTCAGCATACTCCTGAAATTTCCTTTCCAAATATTTACAAAATCCAGATCTCTCCCAAAGTTAGTTTAAATCCATACCTTCAGGAGAATTCCTTTCCTCTAAAACAGGGATACTTGACTGAGAAACGAAAACATGCATCTTTCAGTTTTAGTCTTACAGCAACCTTGTACATTATGTTTAAAACTAATTATGAAAATCTTACTAGAGCTGTGTGGCACTTCAGATTTGAAGACAAAAAAGGGCATTGGAGGATGCACAGGGAACTTACATAGCATGTGTCTGCCATTCATTAAACCAGCTGCAACTTCTCCCAGGATCATGCAGCTGCCACACAACCCCAGTGTCACCCCCTTCAAGGTAGGCCAGGTCAGGAAACAGACTCCACAAGATTTACTGGCACTCTATTTTATTGATATAGGCATTAGTAGCAGAATCTTGAAAGCCTAACAGCATTTTCCATCCCTCCCTCTTATACCAAAGAGATTTAAAGCGGAACCAGTTTAAGTTTCTTTCTAATGCTCTCTTCCTGTTCTGGGCTTAAATCATGTTTTGCTAACTGCCGCCGCATATCTTCTCCAAGGTCATCTGTGGCTCTCTACATCCAGGAAAAAAAAAGAGCTTGGTTTGTCAAGTACAAGCTAGCAAATTATGGTTTAATCAAGAAACCATCGTTTAAAACTTATGGTTCAGTAATGTGGAAAAGAGGCGTGGATAGGAGAAAATTACTTTTTTTCCTGAGGATCAGCTCCTGTTACTGTTTGAGTGGGGAGAACACATAGGGTGAATCTGCTCCCACTTCCGGGCCAGACTGGCTGCCCAAGCCTTCAGCTCGTGGGCCTTAGCAAGAAACACAAGGAGAAGAGTGAGCACATCTCCTTCAGCCGAGTGGGCTCTGGATGGTTCCTCTTTGTAGAAATACTGGTACAGGTTTCCCAGCCGATAGCTCAGGGAAGGATCTTGGAGCAGGTCCTTCAAAGCCTGCAAAGTATCAAGGCATCCTGTATTTGGGGGCAGATCAGTGCCTATTTGCCACAGTTCTTTACGCAGCAAGGGGAAGTCGAATCTGAGACCATTGTGAGCCACTAAGCAGATAGGCTGAGCTTGCCGGTCTAAAAACCCTTTCAGGATCTCCACGAAAGAACGGTTGATTTCTGGCTTGCAATTCTGCTCCAGCTGTTGGTTGCTCAGCCCGGTCATATCCGCTGCAGATGGGGTAAAGGGTTTCTGGGGATTAATGCAGAGGGTGAGCTTGTCTATGATGCGAGGGAACTCCAGTTCATTTTTCTGTGGAGAGGGCTTCAGGGAAGAGTGGTGAACAGCAAAAAGGCACAGCTCCGCCATGCAAGGTTGGTCTCTGGGCAAGCCGGTGGTCTCAATATCAAGGAAGACAAATGTTTGGTAGTCCCGAGGTTCAGTCATGGCTGGCCCAAAGGCAAAGAGTGTTAGAATCTGGTTTTCACTGTTAATAACAACAGCAGCAATAATTGATTATATGGCTTAACTAAGCATTGCTTCATCTACAAAGAACCTATCTTGGGATATCATGATGATGATCATCATCATCTTAAAAGACACCCAGTTGTTCATATTAATAAATAACATTACAACAGTCTGACACAGAAAAGAGGAAAGTCATTGCCACGTTGTACAAGTGAGATTTCCCTTCAGGAGAAAGTCATGGGTTAGTGTTACTAATGGTCTTCCTATAAGGTAGGAGAAACCCATATCTATATTGCTTTTTGACCAGACAGCCCACATTGCCTAATACTGTTTCCTCTAAAACAAGATGTCCAGAGTTCTATTACTGGTTAGATTTCTACCTTGCCTTTCCTCTAGGCCAGTGTTGTCCAAACTTGGCCACTTTAAGATGAGTGGACTTCAACTCCCAGAATTCCCCAGCCAGCATG